TATATATATATATATATATATATTCTTTCCCTAGGTTCCCGTTCGCTGTTTTCTACACAATAACCTCAATTTCGGTGGCACTCAATGGACGAATTCAGGGTTGTGCGTTTTTCCGCACGTTAGTTGGCTTTAATGTCTTTCTATTCCGCAGGCGAGTCCAGTCGTCTGACTACCTTTCTCTATGTTGTAACAGCTGAATCTTATAGAGCCAATGGTGAGTGCTGCACTCGAGTGCAAAAGAGGCCACAACTACCGGTTTAACGCCGAGCCAAGGAAGCTGCTGGTCACAAAGCATGTAGTTAAGAGTTCTTCAGCCACTGCGGTAACGTGAATACTGACAGCCCCGGCAGCAGCAGCTTCAGCAGGAGGCTGCTTCAGATTCGGAGGGACCAATCACATAACTGCAAGGGTAAAACCACTGCGGTTTTCGATGTAGTTTTTCGTGTAGTTCATAAACAACTCGCAGAAGAAATCATTGTAACCATGCCGAATGCCCTTCTTTGAGAAATTCACTTAAGACAAAACGAAATAAAGCTTCTCCCGCTTTCTTTTTAAACAATCCAAAACCATAAGGTACCGTTTGCGGACCCCCTGCCTCGCACCGCAGGCGCCTTTCACGACGACAGCGGGAACATGACAGGGGCACTCGCGCAAAGAAAACCTTCCATTCACAAACATGCGCTAGTTTAGCTGCCTGTCTACCAGGCTCAACTGATTGCGTGCATCATGCTACAATAGATTACGATGGAGCACGATGTTTTGTATATGATAACGGCGAGACGTCGAAGTGCAGTAGAATGCATAAGCTAAGTTTCTCGCGACCGCTGGCTTTGTGCATTTCATGCTGCACCTTCTTCTTCTTGCCTTTTTTTTTCTATATTTCAAACCTTTGTTTCCCTCTCCCGTGGCGCTTCTATAGTCTTGACAGTTTTAGCGAGATCTGACCAATCGCGATTTCGTCGCATCGCCGTTTGCAAGAGAAAGAAAGAGAAAAGGGCGTTTAGAGGAGAGGGCAATGAAACTATGATGCGGCAGTAAAGGGCAGGAGAAGGAGACGGCGCAACTAGGAAGGCTAGCTTAGCTTTGGACCAGCCAGCCTGGATGCTCGGTCGCCGAGTTTGAGTCCTTCCCTCTGAAGATTCGGTACGATCTCGACTGCAGGTTAGTACTCCTGCCGCGGTTCTCAACCTTGTCAGGAGGCCAATGCCAAGAGCGGCGGGTTCTGTGCCCTAGATTCTACACCCGCGCTGCTGCAAGAACACAGCGAGAAATGGTGTATTACATAGAGGAGCAGAAAGAGCAATAAGACGGAGGCAACCACACGCCCCGCACCCACAAGCATTGAGGGGGATTTACTACAGGAGGCACACGGCGAAGACGAAGCGTAATGTCGCCAGTGGCAAAAGCGGTAACAGCGGAAAGGGAACAGAAGAAACCAGGTATACCCCTAATTTTCCCGTCGTGTTCCTACTTTTGCCGCCATAACCAGCACCATGACTACAGCTACTGCTGGTGCTACTGCTGTTAAGTCAGGCCACGTCGTAGTCGATCCTCAAACGAAGCTTCCAGTTAGTGAAGGTAACGATTACCCAATAGGCAGCAACATAGACCACACCCACATACCGTCACCCAGCCATCGAGGTGTACAAGAGCGACTTCATTCAAGCAGGGCAAGTCAAGCCGTAATAACATGCATGGTCGCCGAACAACCAGAAATGGAATTAGACTAGACCAGAGAAAATAGGACAAGTGCTAATCTAGCGAAACAAACCAATTTCAGCGACCTCATAACAGCTAACATTACACAACTACGTATATATACGACTCGTACCAATGATATAGTAAGTCGTAAATATTTGTATCGGTATCCGTGCGTTCTTACTTCAATTGCAAAAAGTAATAAGAACGGAACCAAGCAAAGTTGCCAATAGACTAGGTAATTCGGGGTTAAAAAGAGGTGGTTGGCCAAGCTGCAAAGCGAGGGGAGCGTTCAAGACTCGTCTATTCAAGCGTTCGAGGCCTTGGAACGGATTATCTGAGACGTCAGAGTATTATACACAGGTCTAAGAAAATGTTAAGGACCCACGATAAACGTTTTGTGTTGGAGCGCGTTGGGCAGCCGTTCCTAGGAGGCACGAAGAAATTGTGCTGATTTCAACGCAACTTCGTGAACTACTTCACTGTTGCACTGCCACCTGATTTCATGGCCCTTGCGATGTTTGCACCGAGCTATAGCTGAAATTGAGTCGTCAATAGGGTAAGCTAACAGACGTAGTAAATTTGTGTCCGCTAGCCGTTTCCACGTTAATGACCTTAGCGCTCACAGCAACCGGATTCATTGCATTAGCTTGGCATGGAATAAAGGATCCGTGTCGAATATAACGCTCCTCATGGTACTTACCATGGAGTTGGAAAATTGTGAGGTAATGTCGAGAGGATGCAATGGGAGGGCCCATCTGACCGACATCATGGTTAAATTTGCCGCAGGGACAGATGTCCCTGAATGCGTACTCCTGAACAGGCTTCCGCATCAAATCATAAAAATACCCCGATGTTGCGGATCGCGCGAGTTCAGGCTGTAGCCTTAATCATATTCGGCCCCTTGAGAAAGCCGGGCGAACATCAGGCATTTGAAAAAATTGTATGGTAGGTACTCAAACGCCTCTATATTGGCCCGCGCGTGGCCGCCGTGAGGGTTGCCGAAGTTCGAAGTCTAAAGGGCCGAACGAGTGCATGCATTCGAACATCTGCCCCCTTAAATGGGGGCAGATGTTCGAAAAAAATCTGCAATTAAAGAAGAGATGAGTCATAGAACACGCCGAGCTGCCGCGTACGCGCAACGCTCAATGGGTGTAGTCCCTGCAGAGGAAAAAGATTTTGAACAAACAGGACAGCTTACGTTGTGTTCCGAGGACGCTATGAAGAAGCTGTGCCCTCAGACAATCTCGCTGCAGCAAACCTTGGCCGGCTCTCAAATGGGTGTCCTTACATGGTTAAAAATTTGGCCTTTTGAAAGAAGAACTAATCCAGATTGCGGACTGTCCTAGACCGTATGTTGGACCACATATGTAGATAGTGTGGTCGAGTGTTGCAACGCGTACAAATAATACGTCAAGTCTTAGGTATTATTATCGCTATTGATATATAAGAATGAAATATCAAGCGAATAAATCACACTCGTGGGGCTATGAGTGCGCCATTACAACATATGTATAAACCTATGTGATTCGACTTTTTCCTAAAAAAGGCTTGCTTTTTATTGTATCGCCGCACAACAGGTTGCGCAAGGTTAATTAATCTATTTATTCTAGGTTCATACCTTTGTCACCTTTAACAGCAGGCTAAAGTTGTCTGCAATGCTCAATGCTATACGGTATTGAAGAAGAGTAATGTGATGTTGCCTCCGATTTCTGACTGTTTTTACCTATTGCCCATAATCTGGCCCTTTCCAAGAGCATTTAGTTAAGATTATTGAACTTGTCATAAGGATAACAGCTACAGCCGATCGCCTGTGCATGTCATCAACAATGATATTAGGAGATTGGCAAGCTTGGGCCCTCATTCAGGGATGAAGAGCTCAATCTTGGGCATGCCCCATATTTACAGACTACTTACTTTCGAAAAGATCTAGTAACGAAAGGACACCTGCTAAGGACCATCTAGAGATCTTTTACGATCAGCCGGCCAAGAGTCAGTCGTCATTTCGATAACAAACACCGTTCATCTATGACATTACCTTTACTTACCAACCTCTTTAATTATAATAACTACCAATTTATTTTAGTATCATGGTCCAGTCCAGAAAGTATTCAAATTCGGATTACAAGTAGATGTAGATCACACAGTTTTTAAAGTCTCAGCAAAGCTTGGAGAGGTTCCGTGAATATTCTATTAAGGCATTTATTTAAGTCTTAGAAAATCAAATATTGATAATGTCTCGCCCATCATAGTAGATATTTTATGGTCTTAAAAATTTCAATCACCCATAATTTTTTCCACAGGTTTGCTATATCGT